TTTGAGTGGGTGAATCGGTCTCACTTTGCCGTCGTCTGTCTGTGGATCTTAGTGATGAGGTCTGTTGTGTTCGTTAAAGCCTTGGAACGGTGGTGGATAAAGTAGCCGTTTGATGTCTCTCTCTTCTGGTCCTGCGGGTTCACTGAGATGATGATGTTGATATGATCACATTAGCTGTGTTTTGATTGGCTGTTTCATGAAACTTGTTCCCCATAGTTGAGCTGCTTGTATTCACAGCTCAAACCCTGTAGGTGTAAACTGAGGCCCACAAGAGCGACATGAACCTGCTTAAAGGAAAACACGGCTCGGGTTTAACGTGGCTGTGAGGGTTTTGTTCGGTTCGTCGTCAGACGTTCTCTCAGTGTAAAGGGCAGCTGGCAGTTTCAGACGGAGTTCTAATCCCTAACAGATCAGACAGTGATGAGCTGTTTACGCTCAGCCGGTTCTGTGTGACACTCAGTGTCTGTAATGTTGTTTAATGTTGTTGTTGTTGTTGTTTAATGTTGTTGTTGTTGTTGTTTAATGTTGTTGTTGTTGTAGGTGAGCCCAGTCCTGTGTCACGCTCAAGGGCCGTTCTCATGCGGCCGGCCATGCGGACGAACTTTGACCTGCGGTAACCACAGCTGCAGCCTAGAGTGTCACTCAGTGACCCCTGACCCCAAAATAGAGAAGACAGAGGTAAATTACACACATTCATTTCTCTCTGTCTCTCTCTCTCTTTCTCTCTCTCTCTCACACACTCTTTCCCCCTCTCTGTCTATGGCGGGGGGGTCAAACCACTGAAAGGGCCATATTAAACATCTCAGCTGATCTGTGGGCCAGAAAACCTCTGATGCTTTATTTCATTTTTAATTAATTTCATTAATTTAATTAACCGGCCACTGTTTATTCAAAATACTAAAAAGGTCAGCAGTGAGATACAGGCACTCGTAGTAGACATTAAAGTATTACATGAATACTTGAAATATTCAGAATGTGAATGTCCCCCGGAGCTCGGCCTTTTAAGACTACCTGTTTGCTTGAACTGGACACCCGATATCCTGTCTTTGCTGCACGTTCATCAAGACTGGGGCTCAGTTTCTGAGCTGCTGCGCTGACGTTGGGTGTAAATGAAGCTAGTGCGTTTGGAGGTACGACTGGTGTAGATGTGTGTAGATTGAAGTGACCGCTGACTCATAGATTGCTGTTGGGGTACGAGAGTCAGAGTGCACATTACGCTGCAGTGCATGCTGGGCACTGACAGGATTTTGAGTGTGTATAAAAGTTTGGCATGTGTAAACGAAACGTTGTGAATGTGTGAATCAGACGATTCACATTAATCAGATACCGATGTGTCCATACGCCCTCGGTCGAAACACCGTTAGAGGCCAGAACCAGCAGCTTAGCAAAGCCTCGACTGACGGCAACCAGTCAGGGTTGTGATTGGATAAGTCAAACTCGCTTTCTGATTGGACCAGTTCAGGCTTTCCTATTGGTCCATCAATTTGCTGTCAAAACAGGGTCAAAAGTCCGTACAGTGTAGAAAGAGCTTCACACAAACAGAGCAGCAGCAGCCGGAGGGTTGATATCTGAAGGGTCTGCTGAAGACAGTTTGGGGGTCCACTGCTCTAATATATGTGTGTGTGTGTTTACAGGCTGGTAAGGAGTGTGAGCAGTGTGAAGAGACTTGCTCTAAGCCCCGCCCCCCCGGTTGCCCTCACCCCTGTGCCCTCCCCTGTCACCGTGGCGACTGCCCCCCCTGCACCCAGATGATCAGACAGCGCTGCCACTGCAAGATCACCAACCTGTACATCGAATGCCTGTGAGATATAAACACTGCTCATCTCCAAACTCACTGATTTACCGGCTTTTATCGGCTTTTGCTTTTTAAATGATCATAAATACAGTAAAGGTGTTTAGATTCGACCGACATTTGTACTGAAGCAGCTCTCTGAAGTTCAGCGTCCTGTATTCCGTGTTAACTGAATGCACAGTGTCGGGACTGTTAATGAGCTTAGGAACTGACAGCCAACAGTCAGCATGACTGCATAAAATCAGACCTTTTCTGTAATTTGTAATCTCTTAAAGTTCAGAGTTTTGGGTGGGGCTTCACATATCGGCTTGATTTTTATCCACAGAGAGCACAAGCAGGCGCTTCTTCCAGCCTCCAAGCTTCAGAAACTCTTCCACAGGATATAGTAGCGTTTTTACTGACATGTCAGTTCGCGCTGGATTAAAATCACCTGGGGCTGTTTCTGCTGTTTCTGCCGCTCGTTTTATGAAGGTAAAGCCGTAAAAATGACTGACATGGTGCATCAGACTGGGACTAAAATCACTGGTAAAAATGACATCACAGAACCTCCTCGTGTGAAACCAGTCCCGTCTGAACAGGGCGAAGGAGAAATCAGTGCTGTTTTCTGAAAACGCAGCGTCACAGTATCAGGGTGTTCTGCTGTGGTTTGTCCCCCAAGCGTCACTGGATCCTCTGAGTTAGGACGCCGGATATGAACCAGGACTCAGAACATGAACACGGCTGTATGTGAGCTGACACTGCTGCACACTGAACTGACATCATAAGACTGACCTCCCCAGAATACTGACCAGTGTGGTACGTTAGAGGCGTTAAGATGCAGTTTGAGTAGCTGGTGTTATCAATCAATCAATCAATCAACCTTTATTTAACCTCAGAGAGCACTGAGGTTGACCCACATTACAATGTTGCCGAGTTGATACAGGACAGAAGGATTGATAATATATAAAAACATATCAAATGATATAGTAGATTTAATAATAAAAATGACTCAACTCAGGTAGGAATAAAAAAAGAAACATTAATCATAAAAATACATGAACAGTAGAAATATTAGACAATAATTAGTGTTTAAATGAGACCAAAATGTAAAAGTTAATAAAAACAAGATAAAACAAAAGGAGGATAAGATCAAAAAAGGAACTAAAATTAATTAAAATGACTGAAATAATAAAATCATAATTAAACCAAGACTAAGAATGGGAATGATACTAAGTAAACAAATAAAGAAATGGGGAAAAATAAAATAAAGAAAATAAGACGATAATAGTGCAAATCAAGTAAAAGGTTCATTTTTATGACGTGCAGCATTATCTGTATTTTAGCTGAACGACCTCCTACCTCAGAGGATCCAGTGACACTCGGGGGCAAAACAAAGGCGAAAATGTACACAAGAGCGACAGACTTGTATTTATTTTATTACAGTGAAAACCAGCTTAGACCCAGAAACCCCTCTCACCCTGTGCGGAGTGACGTAGCCGTAACCACCCCCCCCCGTGTGGTTCAGTAGTTTGATTGCTTTTAGATCGTCCGTCACGTTACAGCTAGGCGGAGTCTAAAGACGAAATGTTGGGTCGATATCAGTCAAACGCCCGAGGTTTCAGGAGTGAGAGAGTGGCGTTGTGCCGTCTGTGGCGTCAGTTTGTTTTTAATTGTTTGTTTGTTTGCAGGAAGCTGACGTCGGCTGATGAAGAGGCCGAAAATCTGCTCACCTCCTGCAAGAACCAGTGTCCTAAACAGGTGACCCATATTTCTGTATCTGTGCACATGTTCTGTTGTTCCAGCACCTTCTACAGTGTCAGAGTCCCGGGACACGTTCTCCCCTCTCCATCCCTCTGTCTCTCCATCCCTCCGTCTCACTCACACCTCTTTATCAGGCGTCAGTCATGTGGGAGTTTTCCTTCCTCCTTTAGTCTTTAGTGTCAGTAGTAACGTGAACAGGGGGCCGTCAGAAAGGAGGGATAGGAGGGAGTAGAGCTGGACGATGTGACAGGAGTCGTCGCTGTCGTGATGAACTCCATCACTGTGTGCTTTACTGAGTGTATTATGGATCCATCACCAGTGTTGTAAAACACCAACAGCATGTCTGACTACAGAGAGCTTAATTAGTCTGATCTGACTAATCAGATTTCAGGAAAAATAAACACCGTGGCACACTGTATCGTAAAAATCTTCTCAAAGTATCATGATGTGACATTTTGCCATTTTGCCAACCTTTTTGATTGCACTGCTGTGGAAATATATATACCATTACCCCAGAGCTGCTGAGAGGGGCTGTTGGGCCTGGTAGATGGAGCGAATCTGTGCGGTGAGGAAAGCAGCAGGTCTGGAGATTCGGATTTTACAGAGGATGAAGGTGCAGAGGTTCTTTCCACAGGGGTGTCAGACGCAGTCAGGCGGAGCCTAGAATACTCATTACTGCTGAAGCTCCGGACGCCAAGAACTGGTAATCGGGACGGCGCTGGTCCCGAAGGTGTACCATCATTCCTGTTTAACAGATGAAGCAGTTTGTAACGTAAAGCCTGGCAACTGGAATATTACAGGTTTGAAACGTTAAGCGTTTAGTTTCCTACTTCGTTTTTGGGTTTGGAAAGGGAAAAGCGTCAGATCACCGTGGTTTCTGAACACGCTCTGCCGCTGAAGTGGACACTCGGCCCCTCGCCCCTCCGAGAGCTCATCTAACACCAGGCCGGTGTCTGAGACTCTCCTCTGGGGCCGGCAGAGTGAGGAGAGCTGGGACTGAAATGCGCTGCTGCACGTCGTTCAGAAACACCAGTTTTATACATACATAGTAACACACACAGTGTTCCTTTGGGTGTGTATCGGTTTTAGAAGGTATGAACTGAATGCAGGTGGTGAATCGCAGCAGCTCTCAGTCAGTTTACACACAAACGGATTGTTTTGCTTTTCACATACAGCATCGTTCACATCATCGTTCTGTTTACCAGCTTATCGTTCACATCATCTGTATTTTCCCCGTTAAACGTTCTACCCCGGCTCTTTTCTCGCGGGGTGAACAGAACGGGCCTTAGAGGACGTTATCGAGCACAAGCCCGTCGGACGCACCTCTCTCAGCCTCAGACGAGCTTCACTCCGTCTGCCTGCACGTAGTCGAGGCTGTTCTCTGCTGGAGATTAGCGTCACCTGCTAACACTTACACTGTAATCTCTACACTGCTCACAATCCTTTCTGCTTAGCTCACTCTCTCACATGCTAATCTCATCTCTCTCTCTCTCTCTCTCACTGTCTCTCTCTGTCTCTCTCTGTCTCTCTCTCTCTCTCTCTCTCAGTCTCTCTTTCTCTCCCTCTCTCTCTCCCTCTCCCTCTCTCTCTCTCTCTCTCTCTCTCTCTCTCTCTCTCTCTCCCTCCCTTTGTCTCTCTCTCTCTCTCTCTCTCTCTCTCTCTCTCTCTCTCTCTCTCCCTCCCTTTGTCTCTCTCTCTCTCTCTCTCTCCCTCTGTCTCTCTCTCCCTCTCCCTCTCCCTCTCTCTCTCTCTGTCTCTCCCTTTGTCTCTCTCTCTCTCTCTCTCTCTCTCTCCCTCTCTCTGTCTCTCTCTCTCTCTCTCTCTCCCTCTCCCTCTCTCTCCCTCCCTTTGTCTCTCTCTCTCTCTCTCTCTCTCTCTCTGTCTCTCCCTTTGTCTCTCTCTCTCTCCCTCTCTCTGTCTCTCTCCCTCTCTCTCTCTCCCTCTCTCTCTCTCCCTCTCTCTCTCTCTCTCTCTCTCTCTCTGTCTCTCTCCCTCTCTCTGAGATCACTGCTGAGGGTCATTATGCTGCTAATGTTTCAGACGTTCAGGCTCATTTTTGGGGAAAAAGACAGAGTTTGATTTGAAGAGCGACTCTTTTGTCGTGTCTCCCTTTTCCACTCGCTCTCAGGGTTCTGGGTTCTGGGTTAGCGGCCGTTGTGTGTCGTGATGTAATCAGTGCCATTATCTCCAGCTGGAGTTTGTCATTTAGGCTTTGTTCACTCGGCAGGTAAAAGTGGCCCGAATCTGATCTTTGTCTTCATGTGTGACACAGATGTGTTGTCTTTTTATCAGTGTGAGCAGATAAAGACTGAATCTGACACTTTCAATTCCGCTTTTCTTATGTGGTACTGAAGTCCGATACATATCCAATATGCAGCAGTGAGACTCTGAACAGCCAGATCGGAATTCAAGCAACTTCTACGTCAGTCTGACTCGACCTTCGTCATCATTTCGCGCTGCTCAGACCTCAGAAACATTTGGGCTGATGTTTCTGCACAAACAGAGTTAGACGCTCATCACAGCTGCTCCACGTTTGGAGAGGTTTCCAGAGAAGTGGCCGAACGCGGCTGTAGGAGAGCGAAGCTGCAGCGTCAAAGAAAAGCAAAGTTGGAAGTGACCGAGACTGCTGACCAAAGAAGAGGCCGTGGCTGAATAACGCGGCTTTACGGCGCGGCCTGGGTGAGTCCAGAGTCCAGCTGTCGGCCGTCAGAACTTCTCTTTAGCTGATACTGTTGACTCCAGTTTGACTGTTTACCTCTGGATGAGCCGCGTGAGGCGTTGTTTTGCGTGCGGGTCGGTGTAGGACTGTGATCTGTCACGTATAGGTCACCTTTAAAAGACAGACTAACAGGAAATCAGAGTTGGGCCACCTTTACCTGCTGTGTGAACTAATCACACGGTGTGATCAGGATCTGATCAAACGTTTTAATGAAGACGTTGAGCAAAATGAAGAGAACAAACATCGGTTTTAGGCTTTTAGGTTTTTAGTGGCCCAAATCTGATTCTCTCACCAAATCTGATTTCTTTGTTTGGCTGTTCAGATTGTCTTTTAAATGTGATCTGTATCATCAGTCTGAACAGATCAGCTCCTAAACTGACCCTCGTGCTCTAAAGAACAGAGCGTCACGCTGCTTCACGGCTCATCCAGAGGTAAACAATCACGATCGCCAGCGAACGCCAGTCGCTCCCGGAGGATCAGCTTCATCTTCACCAGCATCACAGGAGCCACCATGAAGCTTCACTGACTGACAGCTGGGCTCATCACCCAGAATGTGTTGGAGCCGTAAAAAGGGCGCGGTCACTTCATACGACCTCATACGTCCTCGGATTCTTTAAACTCTGCTTTCAGACTTTTAACTGTTCTCTGACGCTGCAGCCTCGTTCTCCTGCGGCCGCGTTCGCCTGCGGCCTCGTTCTCCTGCGGCCTCGTTCTCCTGCGGCCGCGTTTGGACATTTCTTTAGAAATCTCTTCAAACACGGAGGGTTTTGGATGAGTCTCTAATAATTTAGTACAGAAACATCAGCCTGAATGTTTCTGAGTCTCACAGTGTGAAATGATAAATGTGGAGTTGGATTCATGTAGAATTCCAATCTGGCTGTTCAGACTGAGTCGCATTGCCTCAGATACGTATCAGATTTCAGTGCCTAATGTGAAAGCAACTCGAATCAGAACTGGAAATGTCAGATTCAGTGTGTTCATCTGTTCACACTGACACTCAGACACACATCAGTGTCACACATGAAGAGAGAGATCGGATTTGGGACACTTTTACCTGCTGAGTGAACAAAGCCTTAGTCTCTGTTTCTCTGTCTCTTTATAATTCAGATAGCTGGTGTTTGATTGGACACGTCACTGTAGACCTGTCCAGTCTTGAACCTTTTTCTGACCAAAATTGTTCTGCCTTTTTCCTTCTTTTTCAGCCACGTTTCAGCGCGTCTGACTGTGGAGTTTAGACTTTTGGGGAGAATCTGACTTTGGTTATTGTTGCAGTTTCAGCTTTAAACATCTAAGTTTCTGAACTGTCACACACACACACACACACACACTCTCACACACACACACACACACACACACACACACACACACACTCTCACACACACACACACACACTCTCACACACACACACACACACACACACACACACACACACTCTCTCACACACACACACACACACACACTCCAGCTCAGTTCCTGGAAACACACACACACACACAGTGTGTGCTCCAGTTGGCTGTGCGCTGTGTGTTTGCTGTGTTTACAGTGGCTCAGTGTGGGCAGCTCAGACCCTCCGTCGTTTCTCCTCGATCTTCTGAGCTGCACTCTTTAATCTGTCCGTCTCTTTAATTACACTCTGTTTGTTCTTCGTGCTCTGCTTGCTTGTTTATTGCGTTCCAGAGCCACACTGGCCGTTTCAGGAAAGTCCTCCTGGTGCTGAAGTGGAGTTACACCTCATACGACCGTGTTCTCCATGTGTTCAGAGCGTTCTGAGCTCCTAATGTTGTGAGGACGTTGGAGGAAGGTTTGGGAGATCAGTGAACACGTACTGGGGCCGTTTTATAGTGATGGTTCTGCAGAAAAATAATCAGTGTGGCCAGATGTAGTCAGTCTGCAGTCACGTGGTTACCTCTTTAGTTTGAACTCTGGAGCCGAGAGAGTAAAGTAGCCAACAAGCTATAGAAGCTTCTACACCGTAAATACAAAAATCAATAAAAATGAGGATTTTTGCTGATCGGAATGTGTGACTAACAGTATACATACTTATACTGAAGAAGCAAGAGATGTCTGAACTCTGTTCTCCACCAGAGGGCAGTGCAGGGCCTGTGTCGTACATTTTGGTCAGATTTTCTGATCCTCTTAGTCTAAAGAAGCGAGTGCAGCAGGACTACTGCAGCCGTCTAAACAGGGCCATCGGACTCAGCCACTAAAAGTGCCATATTAAGAAACCTCAGCGAATCTGTGGACCAGCTGTGTTTTTATTTCATTATTACATAACCTTTTGCCGTGACCCGAACGGACCATCGTTTATTCAAAATACGCCAGAACTGCAACAGCAAAACAGGCATTAAATACTTACTCAAAATTAATTCTAAATAAAAATGGTTTTAGGTAGGTTTTTTAAAAACGGCCTATATGTTTGAACTGGACACCAGGCATCTCTTCTTTTTGTGTAACCGCTGGCTCAGAGATTATTGTTGGGGGTCAGAAGGCACACTGTGTTGCAGTGCATGCTGGGGACTGTAGTGCATCTCAGGGTGAAACAGGTTAATAAGAAGAGAAAATTAAAATGATTTTGCGGGCCGGATAGGGCTGTGTGACGGGCCTGACTTGGCCTGCGGGCCTTGTGTTTGACACATGGGGTCTAAAGGGTCTAAAGGGTCTGGACGAGAAGATGGTGCAGAGCACACCTACAGGCCAAAGGAAGTGTTGCAGGAAAGCACAGATAAACGAGAAGGCTGGGTGCACGAGGGCTGAACAGTGAGGATAAAACATCTTACTGCAGTTTCAAAGCGTAGTACTCTGCCAGGGTTTGGTTGCTTCTGATTGGTCAGAAAAGTCACCTATAGGCAGGTTACAGGCTTAAGATGATGTAGGCAAGCGTTCGGCATCACGCGGCTCTTTTACTGCCCTGTTGCTCCACAGCAGAATCAGATTAGTAGGTAAAAATAAAATAATCCTCCTTTACAGTAAAATAAAGCTCTGCTGATCGTTCAACACAGTTTAACAATAAATGGTCTTAAACTCTGGAGTTAATGTAGAACTGCTAATTCACCCTTTAACCCTGAAGATCAGCGCAGACTGCTGGTCACCATAGCAACACAGACAACAGTCTCACCTAGCTAGTATCTAACGAAACGGCAAAGAGAGAGATTTAAGACGAACATCGATAATTTGGAGATTAATGGACTTATTAGTGTTTATAATCACTCCAGCTGGTTTCCTGATACGTTTAATCTGCAGTGAGAAACTGACAAACACTAAAAAGTCACGAAGATGAGGTCAGATTCTCATTCCAATCATCCCATTCCACCTTAAATGGTGCCTGCTGAACCATTTAAGGTGGAACGTTGAAATTCAAACAAGAAGCTGGCGAATGAGAAGCGACTTCAGCCTCGTAAAAGTCGAATGTTGAGAAACTACTTTTGTGGAAAAGTTTCCTGCTGGAGATGTGAGAAAAGCAGCTATAGCTGAACTAAAGCTTAAAGCAGAGCAAAGTAAGTCTGAGTTTTTGTTTATATTATATTTTTAGTCTATATTAGTTCATCAGCACATACTGAGACACATTTACAGCCAAGATGGTAAAATGGGCATAAAGTGTTGTGGCTCCAAAGGTGGTTTGATTTTTGCTGAAAGGGCCAAGTGGCTCTTGTAAACGTTTGGGTTGTGACCGCTGGTGTAGGCCATCGTAAAAACTGCGCTTCCTGCAGTTTGAAAATTGCACGGGATGTAAAGAAGATTGATCTTCCTTT